GTGCCTGCGGGGCCTGCTGCTCCGGCAGAGCCTTCCAGCCGGGGCACCCACACAAGCCTTTCTCCAGTCCAGGGACAAATCACGGCTCTCCTGCCCTGTGAGACGAGACACGAGAGAGAAACCAAAATACTGTTCCCCAAACCTGCCTCCTCCGGGGGTCTGGCAGGTCACAGAAGTGTCTTACGGTCCACCCATCCCATGCGGGAACACACGGAGCTGAACCAGGTTGCTTTTCTTTCTTCTAAGGACTAAGGCAAACACTGTAGCTGGGAGGAGAAAAAAAAGGGCAGGGAAAGAATGGAAACATTCACAAAATGCTGCAAAAGCTTCTACATTTCTAGGCATTAGCATCTCCATTGCTGCCCCTCCTTAGTATTTTTGAGTGAATAATTGTTCAGACAAGAGTAATACGTACATTTTTCCAGAGGGATATCGTGTTTTCGGAGCGTTTCCAGGCACCTGCACTGCTCAGACTCCGAAGCATGGCCTTTCCATCTCTCGGAAGGAGGCGATTACTGGTGTAGCTGGTCTGCAGTGGCTTTTCTTTACCACCACGGAGGAACACAATTGCTGAAGCAAGTTCTGCTCCAAGTGAACCCTCGGTACTGTAAGTCCCTGCAAAACTTTCCAGGCCCTGTCATCTTGCTTTCCCAGGTGTGTTTGCTTATTTTTTCAGTAATTAGCCCGAAGCTGAGCTGAGCCACAGAACTGCACTTTCTGTACCATTCTGGGTCTTTCAAGTCCTGTTGCTTTAAATAAAGAAACGCCTTATGTTCAGGCTCATGTATCTACACCAGGGTAAGAAGTACTGAAGTGAAGTGTGCCCACAGCTCTTTCCGTAATTAAGCAGAGATGCTTTGATCTCTAGGATTGTCATTTGCTCTTACCAGTGGCCTGCAGGCTTCTCGGGATCTCTCAGTGGACCTGCAAGAAGTGTCTGAGGAGATTCACATTAACGACGCAGCAACCCACCCCAGTGAATGCTTCTGAAGGACCTGCATCTCCCTCACCAAATGTTTAGCTCATTTTAAGTTTGGGTTAGCAACATTTAGCAAAAGTTCGGTAGATCAGAGCAACCTGTGGTAATGGGAATTGGTCTCAAAGAGCTTTTTATAAGCCTGTGCGAATAGATCTCCAACCCAGAAGCTCAATAACAATAAGGTTTATTCCTTCTGTTGTCTTTCCTTAGTAATATTCTGATTTTAGCTTCTTACTGGGCAAGATGAATACTGGCAGTGAAAGTTCCTTAAAAAAACCCAGCTGAGCCACATGCCCTTCCTCGCTCGTTGAGCCAATCTGATAATTGTTTCTCCAAATAACATCAGCTCACAACTGCGGAGCCGCTGCCAGCGCTTAGGGCATCTCCTGCTCATCGGGGGGGGTCTCCTTTAGCCAGACACACACTCACCTGCATCGGGTATTTTGTCCCTGCGGATGACTCCCCCCCCGGCAGAGATTTCTTGGCAGGGATGTGCGAAGGGGAGCACCCCCAGCGGTCTCTTTGCCTGCAGAGGTTGGTGTCAGGCAGCAGTTAGGCTGGTAAATATGCATGGAAAGGGAGCAAACGCTCAGGTGAGGTCTTCCAAAAGCATTTCACTGACAAAAAGTCCCCTTTTCAAAAGCGACAAGAACTGTGGCTCAGATCCCCTGAGGTACACAGGTCCCAAACTTCTTAGGTTTGAGGGGGAAATCAGGCACCCAATTATTCTGATGGATCTGAGCTTTTACTTGCTAAGAAGCTGGTACCAAACTCAGAACCCGGGCCTTCCCAATACCTGTTTGACATTCAAGGCGTCCATTCCCACCAGTTAAGTCTCCAAGGTGCCCAGTTTTCTGCTGGTCTGGATAACCAACCCCATCTGAGAGCATCGTGTGCCGAGTGCCTGTATCCATGGGCTCCTTTCCGTTCTCCCACGCCAAGTATCCCCACCAGTCCCGCCTGGGCATGAAGCAGGAGCCTCCTGTAAATGCATTTCTCCTGGCGTGCTCCATCGCCAGCTTTGCGATGCCCAGCCTGGAGACGCGATGAAGGGACGTTCCCCTTCAGAGCTCCGGCTGCCAGAAGGGGGAAAATAAATAAATAAAACCAAACAAGCAAACCTTTAACACCCACCCCGCGGAGAAAAGGTCTGAAACCGCCGGAACCGGCCCGGTTTTAAGCCTAATTTGGGGAAAATCGCGGCTGGGCGGGGAGCGGGGCCGAGGCTGTGCCGGTCCACCGGCGCCAGGTGGCGCTGTCGCCAACGGCTCCAGCTGTGTCCCCACGCGGGACCGCGGGCCCCCAGCAGCGCCCCTGGGGATGCAAACCCGGGGGGCGGGCGGCACCCCCGAGGTGGCCCTGCAGGGAGGGGAGGAAGCACCCGGCGAGGAGCAGGGGGAATGGGGGGGCTGCCGACACCCCTTGCCATCCCATCCTTCCTATGGCAGGGCACGGCCCTGGGTGCCGCATGCCTGGGGACCCCCCGGTCCCCTGGGCCAGGGGTACGCCCGACACCAAAACCTAGGCAGAGACACCCGGCCATGTTTCTCATCATGCTCCAAAATTCAGCCCCGTAGAAAATCCTTGGGCCTCTGCAACGAGCAGCTCTTTCCTATAACAGAAATGCCAAAAAAACCCAAGGCAAACTGTGCTGATGCATCACCGACAGCTCGGGAACTGGGCGGCGGGGAGCAGCGAGCAGATCGCTGATCCTGAGCTGAGCCACGGCAGCCGACCACGGGCCAGATCTGGGCCTTTACGTGAGCAAACACCGCATTGCTGAGCAAGCCTAAGTCCCATCTCCTCTTACCGGGCTCCAGCAGCACTCCTGAGCAAGCTTCGTCCTCCTCGCCTCCCACCAGGGCCCGCAAACGTAGAAGCGGAGCTTGGACAAAGCGACCGCTTGTGACAGCAGCCAGGGGTTTTGCCATCCCTTGGGACAATACATGCAGGGAAAAATCAGGTTTGCCTGGTGCAGAATAAGGGCTGGTGGGGGAACCCTGTGGGGTTTCATCCTCTCCTCCCTGGTGGAGGTGTCTGAGATGGAGAGCTGTCTGTTTAGACTGCGCTCACTGGCTTGAGGAATATGTGGCGTCCACGGTATGCGGTGGTTCTGTTTTTCCAGGTTTGGAAACCGATGGGAGGGAGAAAAATGAATCGTGTAAACCTTCATCGAGGACCAGATATCAAACCCCTTCAAGCTGGCCCTGAGGCTTGCAAGGTGCCTATGCTTTCCAGCCCGGCTGGAGGCCAAGCTGTGAAGGCATCGGTACTGCAGGCAAATGAGCCCAAAATTAACCTGAAGGATGAAAACGAACCTTGGGAGCGACCGTGAGATTTCAGGGAAGGCAGAACCACTTGGCAGAGACTGAACTCCTAACCCTGGGCCTTTATCTCAGCCACGCCTAGCGCAGATATGTGCTTCAGGAGCAAAAACCTCCATCTTCGGCTTGTCTAGAAAAAGGATGGCAACGACACGGCTCACCTCCAACAGGCAGCGCAGGCGATGGAGGGAAGGATCAACCCACAAAGGCATAAAACGAGGGAAACCCCAATAAATACCACAGGTCGATTGCCGCTGGCTTAAACAGACCTACTCTCAAAATAAAAAACAAAACCAAAAAAACCCACCCCCAAAAAAAAACCCCAAAACACCCCCCAAAAAACCCCACTCTAAGAAAGGCCTCCACCAGCTCTGATAAAGCCTTTCCCACCTGCCTTAATTAAAAGAATAATTAGATTTGTTGGTGGTGTTGTTACCAGCTAACTTTGCTTTTAATTAAGCTGATTACACACAGCTGGGCTAATTAGTGTGCAGTAACCTAATTTCCCTTGTATAAAGACAGAAATACACAGCCAAAAATCAGATTAATTCGCATGCATCTATTTTTTATGTGCATGTATATTCATAGTATGAGTGTAGGTATAGATATATCGGCCCACGGATTGAAGCAAAATTTCGTGCACGTGGCAGTATCCTTAATTAGACCAAATAAACCCAAATTTCACAGGACACGACCTATTTTTCAGATGAACCGGGCTTGTGTCCCTGCTGCCTGCTCTCCCCTCGCTGCGGATTTATCGCTGCCCAGCGCAGGATGGTGATGGTGCAGGAGTTTATCTGCTTGGGGTTTACTAGGAATTATTATTTTATTTTTTTTTCACGCGGGTTAAAACCCGGGGGCAGCTTTAGTGAGCTCCTGGGCGCATCTGCGGAGGTTCCGCGGAGCCGGGGTTGAGCCCCGGGCTGCTCCGCGGGGATGCGCGGCTCGGGCTGCCCGAAAAATGCCCGTGTCCCTCCCGGGGAGGAGGAAGGGAAAAGAGCCGAGCAAGACGCAAAGAGCTGTCAAACACGGCCTTTCGCTTTCTCCTGGGGGGAAAAAAAATATAATTAATAAGAATAAAAAATAAAAAATAAAAATCGTCCCGCTTTTCCTCCCTTCTCCTTTCATCATCCTCATTTTAAATATTTCCACGCAGCGAAAGGGAACGCGGGACCCCTCAGAAGCCGCAGCCAAACCCCCAAAAAGGCCCTTTCGAATCTGCACCAAGATGGGAAATGATGGCATCAAACGCACGAAGGTTTGCAGCGGCCGGGGCGGGGGTCCCGCGGCTTTT